CATGCAGAATGTGCCCTCCTCAATACCCACCACCAGGCTAACCCATCCTCCCACCCCCCTCCCCTCTAGAACCCTCAGTTTGTTTTTCAGAGTGAAACAGGAAAATAATTTATTAGAGGTATCAGGTTGCTCACTGAATCCCTGAGAGGGACCCTTGTGAGTTGGCCTTGGAAGCTGGGTAGCTGGGAAATGTGCCTAACCACATGTGAGATTGTTCTAGAGAAAGCCTCACAGCCATTGCTGGGTGCAGACATTGGAGCTCTTACCCCTGACATGTGGCACCAGATACCAATGTCTCACCACGGCTGCCTCCCAAACCCTGACTCCTCCACTCCTATCCTTGCCGGAAAATAAATTCTCAGGGCCTGCTTCTTTAGAACTGAAATCCTGCACCACTGTGCACAATTAACAGAACCTGGGTCACAGGCCTGTGCCTCAGCCACAAGAGGGGGCTGGAAAAGCAATTGGATTAATTAGGACTAAGTTCTGCTATATATTACTAAATAATAACAGTGGCTTAAATGGTTTATTTCTCATGCAAAAAAAGGTCTGGAGGTAGCCAGGTAAATGCTGGTAACGTTGGTTTCGTTGTAGACTTAATGACCTAGCTTAACTTTATGCTCCATTCTTTATGTCACCTCATGGCCCCAAATGGCTGCTAGAGCCCCACCACATCTGCATTCCAAACAGCAGGGGGAAGAAAGAGGAATGGCGGTTGCTCTTTTCCTCTTGAGGAAACTTTCTGGAAGTAAAGTGTAACACTTCCATTTATACCTCATTGGCCAGAATTTAATCAGGTTGGAAATGACATCTTTTGCCTCAGAAGTAATGTGCCGGCAGAAATGAAGGGTCGTGACAGCAGAAGCTGTGGAGATGGATCTCAAGAGTCAACTGGCAGTTTTCTACTGTGGGGAGATGAGACTGAAAACGTGAGAAATTCCCCACCTGTAGGAAGGACGTTTCACAGATGCAGAAGACAGGGGCTGCCTGGGTGGCTCAGTTGGTTAAGCGTCTGCCTTTGGCTCAGGTCATGGTCCCAGGGTTGTGGGATCGAGTCCTTCGTCGGGCTCCCTGCTCAGTGGGAAGCCTGCTTCTCCCTCTCCCTCCGCTGCTCCCCCTGCTTGTGCTTTCTCTCTCACTGTCACATAAATAAATAAAGATCTTTTTAAAAAAACAAAAATCAAAAACAAAGATGCAGAAGACAGATGCCTAAGATAAACATTTTCTTTTCCATATGTGCATTTCCAAACATTAGCCACCACCATAAAATCCTCTTGCCTAATATAATGCAACCATCCCTTATACAAACAAAAACACAGTCACCCTCTTTTACCCAAAACAGGAACAACTCAAAGTGTCATCAACTACTGCATCCTGTTCCAAGTCGGAGATCACTGAGAAACGTTCAGATTGATATTTTGAAAATGACTGTCTAAAGTGTAATGTCAATGACCCCCAATTTGCCCTATATAAAATAGTAAGGGAATGGGAGGTAGAAAAAAGGGAAAATTAGGCGAGCGCAATAATGTAGTAGAAAACAGCCTGCACTCAGATTTGCAGGTAAGCTGTTTTGCATTTATTTGTATCTATTTACATCTTGCATTTATTTAATACTTATAAGATGGTCTTCTTTGTTGAGATGATTCCAAAGAGATGTTGCATAATAAGGCTTTTATACTTGGATATCAACAACCTAAAGGCACTCGCTGGACTGGCTTGTTTTTTTTCTTTTTTAAGATTTTATTTATGGGGTGCCTGGGTGGCTCAGTGGGTTGGGCATCTGCCTTCAGCTCGGGTCATGATTTCGGGGTCCTGGGATCGAGTCCCGCATCGATCGGGGTCTCTGCTCAGTGGGGAGCCTGCTTCTCCCTCTCCCTCTGTGCTCTCTCTCTCAAGTAAATGAATAAAATCTTTAAAAAAAGAAAAAAAAGATTTTATTTATTTATTTGTCAAAGAGAGAGAGAGAGAGAGAACAAGGGAGAACGGCAGGCAGAGGGAGAAGCAGGCTCCACGCTGAGGAGGGTGCCCGATGCGGGGCTCCATCCCAGGACCCTGGGATCATGACCTGAGCCAAAGGCAGACACTTAACTGACTGAGCCACCCAGGCATCCCTGGATTGGCTTTTTTTTGGTCTCCATCCCTCTGATGACCACACTTTCAGGTTCA